TTCCTATTTCCTTCTCTCTTTTTTTGTGCCGATACTGGGGCTTGAACTCAGAGCCTTGAGCTCTCTCTTGGCTTCTTCCCTCAAGTCCAGCATTTAACTTGAGCCACACTTCTACTTACAGCTTTTTGTGACTCATTGGAGATGCCAGATCTGGCTTTGAACTGAGCTCAAATCTCAGCCTCTTGAGTAGCTAGGATTACAAGTCTGACTGGTATCTGGCTCTCATTTTCTTTCTTCTAAATAGAAGAGGAATGTGAGACTGACTCATTAAGTTTTGTAGTTATCGTTTGTCATATAGTTCATGTGCATTATACAATCTTAAAATTGTTCCTTTCCTTAGCATCAGTTATATTGAGGTTCTTTGTGAAAGAGTAAAAATATGTTGAGAAGCCAGAATTACAACTATTTATATCATTTATATACTCCATCAGAGTCAAGATAATTGGGTCTCTGTCCAGTGGAAGGGTACTAGTTCTCAGAACCAAGTTGAGTCTTTGGCCATACCACCCTGAAAGAGCTTTATTTCGTCTGATCTCAGAAACTAAGCAGGGTCCAGCCCATTTAGTGCTTGGATGGAAGAACTAATTGGAATATCAAGGTTGACTCCTGTCTTCAAGAACTTGTTCTGAGCTTGGCTGAACTGAGTAGAACTTTTTTTTTTTTTTGGTAAGAGAGAGAGACCCTGGCTATGTAGCCCAGGCTGGCCTTGAATTCGTGGCCCTTCTGACTTAGCCTCTTTAGTGCCGGGACTACCAAATGTGGGTCATTTGTTCTATTCAAGGTAAAGAACCAGCTCCTGTGGGGTTTATAAACATGACTAAGGGAGGCTTTTGTTTCATGCTGTTTCTAATGGGCTATGTTGGCTACCTTAGTTCATATCTACAAGCTGGAGACATGAGACACTGCATTGGCCTTGACATTCATCATAGTGCTCTGTGTTTTCCAAGGGCCCTTTGTTTTCTTCTCTGTTGTAATTCTACTATTTGTCTTCCCTCAATGCTGACTTCAGAGAGCAGGATGAGGTCTGATTTACATCTGTATTTACATCTGTCTGGTACATGCTGGGTAAAGAATAGGCTCTTTTTGTTGTTGTTGGTCATGGGGCTTGAACTCTGGGTCTGTGTGCTGTCCCTGAGCTCTTCAGCTCAAGGCTAGTGCTCTACCACTTGAGCCACAGCGCCACTTCCAGTTTTCTGGTGGTTAACTGGAGAAAAGAGTTTCATGGACTTTCCTGCCTGGGCTGGCTTTGAACTGCGATCCTCAGATCTCAGCCTCCTGAGTAGCTAGGATTACAGGCGAGAGCCACCGCACCCTCCTCCAAGAGTAGGTTGGCAAAGTCTAAAGTCAACCAACCCAAGCTGGGTGCTGAGGGCTCATGCCTTTAATCCTAGCTACTTAGAAGGCTGAGATCTGAGGATCTCAGTTTGAACTCAATGAGGGCAGACATATCCCGGAGACTTTTATCTCCAATTAATCGGAACTAGAAGTGGAGGTGTAGCTCTAGCGGTAGAGTGGTGGTCTGGAGCAAATGTGCCAAGCAAGAGTGTGAGGCCTTGAGTTCAAACTCTAATACAGGTACACACACACACACACACACACACACACACACACACACACACACACACACACACATTGGTCTCAGCTTTGTCACTAATTATTATTTAACCTCGGACCAAATACTTTATCTCAGGTTCTTCATCTGTGAAATGGGGATATTAATGACTAGCCTGCCTATTTCCCACGATTGCTTTGAGGATCAAATGAGATAATGTACTTAAAAAGAGGTTTTAGAAAGTCTAAAGTACTACCTGAATGCAAGGCAGTATATATATAATATATAATTTTGAATTTTCCCTTTCTTAAACACCCTGTTTCACCATCTTGGATGCCTGGGTTGCATGGTGGGGAGACCGGAGGGTCACTTCATGCTTCAGACTCTGCCTGCCCAGCCTCACCTTCACTACACTGTCTACTGGGAGCACTGGGATTCTCCAGGACCCTCAGTCATTCTTCCAGTCTTGCTTCTCTCCTTGACTCATATGGACATGGATATTCCTCCTTACTTGAAGAATGTTCTTTGGTTCTGTGTATGTGCTGGTACTGGGGCTTGAACTCAGGCCTACATACTTTCCTCCCAACCTCCTGCCAATTATGGGGTTTGAACTCAGATTCTAGGCCCTGTTCCTGGGCTTCTTTTGGTTAAGGCTAGCACTCTACCACTTGAGCCACTCTACTACTTGAGCCACAGCACCACGTCCTGACTTTTCTGTGTATGTGGCACTGAGGAATGGAACCCAGGGCTTCATGAATATTAGGCAAGCACTCTACCACTAAGCTACATTCTCAGCTCAAAGGCTACATACTCTTGCTTGGCTTGTTTATGTGAATGTCTGGCTTTTTAATGGTTAATTGGAGAAAAGAGTCTCTTGGATGGCAATGCCTGGCTTTGAACCTCAATCCTCAGATCTCAGCCTCCAGAATAGCTAGGATTGTAGGCATGAGCCACAGGTACCTAGTTGCCTACTCAAGTTTTAGCCATCAACTAGTCTGGCTTCTGATAAGGATCTAGGAAGAAGATGTGTACGGTGGAATTTAGGCTAAATCTGGGAAGGGGCCAATTGCAAGAGTGTAACTGCACTCTGCTAATCCGTTAGGCCACACCTAACTTTCCTTAAGGCAAGACAACTCAGTTCCCCCTGGCAGCTCCACTGATAGCTGGCCTGCTTATCTTCTCTATCAAACCTCCTTTTCCTTCAGTTTTAAATCCTATATCTGGAAACAGCATCATTATGCCTCAAGGTCCTGGCGGCTGTCTTTTTCCAGGCAGGACTAGTTCAGGAGCTGAGCCTCTCTCTCCTGCACTCCCACAGCTCTTGATGAAATTCTTACCTTCTGCTTCGGGGTCATATGCTGATTTCTGTGGTCTGTATGTCTCTCTGCCAGGCACTCTCTGTGCCTGGATTAGCTTACAATAAATGTGATTTGAGAGGGCACAGAAAAGGTGGAACAAAGTGTGAACAAACACAACAGGAGTACTCACTAGACATACATCTTTTAGGTGGCGATGGGAGAGAAAAACTAGGAGAGTGCTAGGGAAGGGGAGACATGGTTCAGAAAGAATTGTACTCATGACCCAACTCATGCAACTGTAACCCCTCTACAATAATAAATATACATATATATGCTAGATATACATACATACATATATATATATATATGCAAAAGAAATGTGAAAGTTAGGTGCTGTACTTAAAATCCTAATCAGGAGGCTGAGGATCATGGTTGGAGGCCAGCCCAAGCAGGAATGTCCATGAGACTCTTATCTCCAACGAACCAGTGAAAAGTCAGAAGTGGCTCAAGTGGTAGATCACCAGTCTCTTGGATGTGTCTGTCTGGGCTGGCATCCATCTTCAGATCTCAGACTTCTGGGTATCTAGGATTATAGGAGTGAGCCACCAGAGTCCAGCTGAATATACTTTAATAGTGACAAATCTGATCTCTACAAGTGAATTATAACATTTCTATATGGCAACTCAGGAAGAGCTATCTTTAATGAGTCAAGATCAGACTGATAACAGTCCAGCAATAAACCTGGTGCCATTGATCTTGATTACATGATTTTTGAAAACTTTCTTAAACTTTCTACTACATTCAGTATAGCACTTGCTTATCTTGCGTGCCGATTAGATCCTAGCCTTGTACTCACACTCACTTGCATTGGTTGTAATGATGCATTCTCCTTTAACATTTATTGTGCATTTGACACTAAGTGAAGAAGGCTAAGGTCCTTTCTTATACTTTATCTAGTTGGGCAGATGCAAACAGTCCTGTGTGAAAAGTAGCATTGGGGTGAGATAAAGAAGTACAGTGGAGAGGACTATTAGGGTTGAGAATTCGCTACAGTGTTGGCAAAGCCTTTTTAGGACTGAAGGATGCATCATGACTGGAAGTCCATCAAGAGGAGGAGAGAAGGGGACCCTTAAGAGTCACTGTATGCCCAGAGAACAGAAGGTACAGAGTCTGAAATGGAAGACTTGTTTTCTGCAACCGATTTCTTTTTACTATCCTCTTGTTTTCAACTTGTATCCTTATTGATATATACTTTCAATTACTGCATTAAATTTCATTTTACTTCGTTATTTTGTGCCAGTACTGGGACTTGAACTCAGGACCCGCAACTTTAACTTGGCCTTCCCCCCCCCCCCCAAGGCTGGTTCTCGACCACTTCAGCTTACACCTCCACTTCTAGATTTTTGTTTTGGTTGGTTTTACTGGCTAATTGGAGATAAGAGTCTCACAAGATTCTTTTTTTGGTCCGGGCTGGCTTTGGACTGTGTTCTTCAGATCTCAGACTTCTGAGTAGGGTAGGATTACAGGCGTGAGCCTCCTGTCCCTGACACAGTTCATTTTTACAAATATTGCATACATTATTCATGATTCCTCTGTCCCTTTTTACTAAGCGAACTGACGAATGAATGAATGGTGACAGGGGTTGAAATACACCCAGGCGCCTCTGCCCCCATTTCCTTCTCTGACAGCCCCGGGGTCTCCTCTCCGCATTCTTCCAGAGAGCAGGGGAGCAAGGGCCCGCGGGTGCGTGGGGGGCAGGAGGTCCGCCCCTCAGTGCCAGGTCACCGTCCGGTCGACCCCGGGGTCCGATGCTCCGAGCCCCCTCACCCACCCGCGCCCCCTCCTCCCGCCCCGGGATGCTCGGCGCAGCCGACGCTCGCTCGGCGCTGACCCGGCTCCGCGCGTGGGGGAGGACGAAGGGAGGACCACGGGAGGACCTCTCAGTAGATCCCTCCGCGTGGAGCCCGGCCGGCGCTTCTTCCTGCGGGAAACCCCTGGGTGCCCCAGGCGCGAGGCCGGGCTGTGGCGGCCAGGGGGGCGTGGCCTCGCGGTGGGAGGACGGCCGCGGCAGGGGGCGTGGCCTCGCGGTGGGAGGAGGCGGCAGGGGCGGAAGGACACACGAGGCTGAGTCGCTGCACCGCGAAGAAAGTTTCAGCCAAACTTCGGGCGGCGGCTGAGGCGGTGCCGGGGAGCGGCTGATTCGTGGGTTTGGGGCACCGCCGACGCATTCAAACTCGAGCTGCGGAACGTAGCGCGTGGCCGTGAGCTGAAGCACCCGGAGGAGGAGCGGACAGAGCGGGAGGGTTGGGGGGACCCCGGGTTGGGACCCCCCTCCTCATGTGGATCTGCCCCGGCGGCGGCGGCGGCGGCGGCGCTGGAGGAGGCGACCGAGAAGATGCCCGCGCTGCGCCCCGCTCCTCTGTGGGCGCTGCTGGCGCTGTGTCTGTGCCGAGCCGACCCCGCGCGTGGTGAGTGTCGGGCCGGGGTGTGTGGGGGGGCTCCGTCCCCTCGCTTGGCCCGGCTCCCGCTCGCTTCGCCCCGGCCACCTGAGGCGACCGTTCGGCCGCCCGCGGTCCTC